CTTATACATTACATGCTTACTCAAATCACATTGAAAACGAATACTACAAATGTTTTAGAATAATGTGCAAAATGGTCTTACTCGCAAAGGGTTAATTTAGAAATAAATGTTTGGTAATTGAAAACAGGTAAGCAGCTTAAACGGCTGCGATTTTCGCTAAAACAAATTGAAAACTCGGTTCTACCAAGGAAAAGTTGGAATGATACCCGGTTTTGGGTTAGGTTTTACTTTAAGATATTATTAAAGTTATTACAGATACTTATCTTCAGAAATAGAAATACATTCAATAACCAGCGTGGCGTGAATGATAAGGTGTTTGCCTGCAAGTTCCGAGCTTCTTCTGCTCTGCAGGTTTGAACCCTGCTTAAACAAATCTTATTTTTATTTTTTCAATCATATTTTAATCGTACACTAAATATGACATTATATTTTTGTCTGACCTTCGAATATTTTTTTTTAAGTTAAGTTTAACCAATTATTATTTTATGACATTGCCTGCTAACTCATGTTACTGTTCTAAAATGAAACGCTATGTTTTGAACCATTAAAAATAATCGACAATGTCCTTTTAAAATTTTAAATCCAACCCATACTTTATATTAAACTGGCACACGGGATCACTTTTCCTTTGTTTCTAAACGATTTGATGGTGGGGATCTCGCGACTCCTGGCAAAAGAGTTCAGTTGTAGATTACCAGCAGACAAATAAAGTAATTCTTTTATTAAAGTTGATTTTATCGTGTTTGTTTATTAAAGTTGATTTTATTGTGCTTGTGCAAAGTGACAGTATTTCGTGCCGTTGGGTAAGTATTTAATAGTTGTTTTTTAATTAGTGCAATTAAGTTGTACAATAAAAATGGCAGCATTTGAGGAAATCAACACAAAGTTTAAATATAGATTTCGATCTATTTGGATGAATGATCCAAATTTAAAGTCATGGCTACGCGAAGTTCCAGGGGACAATACCGTTTTTTATTGTTGCATTTGTAGAAGAACTTTTAAGTGTCGATCCTCAAATGTTAAGAGACATTTAGAATCTGCGAGACATAAATTTTTATTAACTAATTTAAATCTTGATACAACGGAACGTCCAACGGAGACTGTTACATCTCAATGTTCTAACATTGAAAAATTTTGACCATGGTTGCGTAAAGTCGACGACGTTCCGTCTTCTTGTTATTGCTCAATTTGTGAGATAAGATTAAAGCGGCGTTTATATATTTTAAATTCTAAATACCATCTTATGAACTGCGCAAAAAATGGAATAGACGTGACTAGATCGAATGATTTCAATACGCAATCCGAAGGATCGGCTCTGTCGTTCGAGGAACAGCGGCATAAAGCGGAGATTCAGTATGCAGCTTTAATAGCTACATTGAATCTCCCGTTTAAAGTCGCGGGCCGGATCCTTGAGTACTTTCAAACTGTGCCAAAAACCGATTTTGGACAGTATGACAATAAGTCGAACAAAGTCTACCAATATTATAACGAAGGTTCTGTATCCCTACGAAACAGATCGTCTTTCTAGTGTTCTACGGAACAATAAATATTCAATTTTTATTGACGAGACATCGGACTAGACCAATGAAAAATGGATGACGCTTCTAGTTCGTTACGTTGATCCCACGACTTTGGATGTACGATCGGAATTATTAAAATTAATTAATCTCGACGCGAAAGATTGTAGTTCCCAAAAGATATTTGAAGCATTTAAACATGAAATGTGGAAAAAAGAAATTCCGATGGAAAACATCCTTGCCTTATCACGCGACAAAGCGTCTGTCATGGTAGGGCAATATTGCTCGTTCAAGACTGCTCTTGCAAAAATTCTCGGCGATAACTTTTTAACTTTGTGATGTCGTTGCCATTCCACTACATTGGTAGTGTGCGCAAAGTGCAGTACCCTTCTAGATGAATGTGAGGACGTTTTACATCAGACAGTAGGTTTTATACATATATTCCAGCCCGAAACGGACTGTAATATTCCGCGAGTTTCAAGAATGCTATCAAATTAAAAGCCGAAAGATTTCAAATTTGTGCACTACGCGCTTGCTTTCCCACCACGCGGCTGCAACTTCATTATTAGATAATTGGGATTGTATTATATCATATCTTCGAGAGTTTGTCTTGAGCGAGAAAACAAAGTCTGCGGAACGTCTTCTTATTTTGTTACAAAATCCAGAAATAAAAGCATATATCTATTTTTTGAAATATGCTCTTGGCTTTTTCGTTAAATTTAATGTGTTTTTTCAAAGCCAAGAAACCAGGATCCATTTGCTTCAACAATTTGCAATATCTCTTTTGCAATGCATACTGCGAAAATTTTTGAAGCCAGACTGGCTGAAGCAAATAGATACAATAATTAATATAGATTTTTCGAGTCACGGGAATCAAATCAAGCTTGATGAGATATGCATTGGTTCGGAATGCGGTAGATTCCTCAATGAATTGATTGAAATCCGATACTGCTAAAGCCGTTCGGAAACAATGTTTGGATTTTTAAATTACAGCTGCAAATGAAATTCGTCATCGATTGCCAATCAATGACAAATTTCGGTAATTATTTACTTTAGTGATTCCTCACCGATTTCGATGACCTTGAAATATGTTGCCAAGGTAACTGTTATGAATACTTTTTCTTTATACATGTTACCGCCGCTCGCCCTTTGTTTTCGAGATATTTGCAAAAATAATTTTATGTCTGAATTAGCCTCTGGTTGAGTTGGAGATGAAATATTATACTTTATTCTTTACTATTATTACTATTATCGTTATTATTAACAGAAATTGGAAAAATTCGGATAATATTAATTGTTAGAATGCCAGGAGTTATCCTGGCCTAACGGGGTCCGGATTACGAGGGAAAGGACTTTAGGAAAAAGTATATTAAAAATTGATGCACTTGATTTATATTTTCGCTTGGTCGCTTATCGCGGCCAAGCCGTTTATTTATTTTAACTTTGATTTATTAGTAACAAAAAAAAAGAATAGGAAAAAAAAACCACCTCGACGTCAGCCAGACGTTGGGGGGGAAAAAAACCTATGGCTGCCGCTCACCCTCAGCCCTCGTTGTTTGGTCTGTAACAAGGAAAGACAAGGCTGGATTTTAATACCTTGTAACGCTTGTTGCGTTGCCCGTCTCGCTTTATTTCGCACGCTCCTGTCTGTGCTAGTCGCACTCAGGAGCGGGAATAACAGACCGTGCTCGTCGAACTGAGCGATGTCTATGTGGACTGTATATGTGAACGTTCTCGTAAACGGAGAAACGTTCGATCGCAGTGCGGAAGAAGAGATTTAATTTCTCAATTCTCCGCTTTTTTTGCGATGGTTGAAATGCCGCAGGAATGGACAACAGGTGGAGGTTGTAAGGCTCCAAATGTTGCTCAAATCCGCAGTTTCTCACCGTTCTCGTATGCGCACAAGGCGCGGTGTGGTGTAGCCCTTAACGGCGCACGAAACGTCTTACGTTTAAAGGAGCGTACACCACGGTGCTCTTTTGCGGTGCTCTGCGCACAGGGTACGTACACACTGGCGGTCAAGGAGCGTTGCTCGAGCGTGTCGGAAGCGGGAAGAATCCGGTTTTCTCCAGCTCCGACACGAGAAACGGCAAGCCCACCGGGGTATCGACCAAAGGTTACCCTGGGGGTGAAAATTCAAAACCGTGCGGACAATTCAATGTCGATCACGACCGCGTCAAATGCAGCAGTACGTGCGACAATTTGCTCTTCCACGGCCGCGAAGCTCAAGCGCTACGTGGAGAAAATCAGCCTCACACGACCGCGTCGAATGCAGCAGTCCGTGTGAAGGTCAGTACTGAGTAGGCCGTAGCCACTGGCTGAAACTGTACTTCCGACGACCGCTGAGTTCAGCGAGACGTTGGAAAGTCAGCCTCACGACCGCGTCAAATGCAGCAGTCCGTGATATAACCAGTCTCTCACGACCGCGTCAAATGCAGCAGTCCGTGGAGCCGTCAGCACTGACTGGGCCTTAGCCCTTGGCTGTGACTGGAGTTATCGACATACGTGAAACGAGGATTTTCCTCGATTCGCTTCACGGCCGCGAAACTCAAGCGCTACGTGAAGCTGAGACGAAAACCCACAGTCTGTTTGGACTGAAATCTCGACAAACGGGAGCCGAGTTTCCTCGATTCGCCTCTCACGGCCGCGAAACACAAGCGCTACGTGAAGAATTCGGCGAGATTTATATAGTCATTTAATCGGGGCTGGAAAAATGCCTCACCGATTTAATTAATTGCGAGCAGCATTCGATTAGTCTCAACGAAAGGTTCGAGTGTTCTCAGAACCCTTTTTCGGAGAATCTGGCTTCGTCGCGGAGCGGATTCGTTCGTCGATCTGCTCGCTGCGAGGACCAGAATTCGAATCACGAAGCGAATAGACATCCGCAGTCACGGCCACGGGAGGGGTAATCACCCTCTCGCGGCGCTATCCCTGCTCTTCGATATCTATCTCTTCTCAATTTTAATATTTCGATACCCTCTCTGTTTATGGATCTTCGACGATCGATCCCAAGTATACGGTATTGGGTCGATCACGTGACTGAGAGCAAACAAACTCGTGTGTGGTTCTTCTAACCTGTATTGGTCCGTGTACCGATCTACGCATCAGAGAGTCTCTGGAATGTCGTGTACGCGAAAGCAAAAACTGTACGAGGAATTTACGGTTCTCAGTTATGGTTCACGTTAAATTAGATAATTCTCTTAACGGTTCTCAAACCCGTCAATTAACGCGATATTTAAACATACCGCCCCCCTTGCACGGTCCGTGCAATAAACAAAAGGAGCGGTAATTCGCGGAGACAATTCGAACGTCCAGTTACAGAGAGGGGTTACTTCACTTAATAAAGAAATTAAGTTACTTACTTTTTAGCGGCGGAAAAGGTCCCTTCGACTCTGCAAAATATGCAGGGACGTCAGTACGGCCTCTGTTACGGCCGCCTGGTCGATTCGGGCCTGGCTTTGTCGCGTTGGAGGAGGCGGTCTTTCAATGGGGCGACTGACCCCTTGACCCTGCGACGCCCGATTTCGTCGGCGTGCCCTCCTTCCAGTCGCCGGTCGTGTTGACGGCCCTGGAGTCGAGGCTTCCGGTCCCGCCGAGGGCTGCGGCTCCACGGGGTTGCTCGCCGTGGCCGGCGCCTCCGGCTCGTGGAAATCGCAGGCCACTAGGCGTCCCGTCCTGTTCCACTTTAAAGTTGTAGTGGCCCCCCGGAACCACCACTTTCGGCGTCGAGAGGACCACGGTACGTGGACCGGGATCTCCAGCACGTCCTGCCCCAGGTCAAGCCGGAAGGTCGGCGTGGTTGGTGGATGCCGAAGGGCCTCCCTCGCATCGCCAACCTCCATGGGCTCCGGTTCGGTCGTTGTGGCCGTCGCTGGGGTAGCTGGGGGCCGGAAGGCCTCTCCCAGCTGCAAGAGACGCCCGAACTGGGCCTCCATTTCCGGGTCCAGGCTCCGGGTCGGCTCCGTCTCCTTGTTTTCGTTTCTGTCGACATTTTGCTCCGGTTTTGACTAGGAACTGAGGGAATTCTGCAGCGGGTCCTGCTTTTATGCCGAGGACGATCGCGTTCCGCGAATTCTCCCTTCCCTAAATTATTACAGGATGGTAGGAAATGGATTCCCCTATCACCGTAATTGTCACTAAAGACAAAGGTACATGTGGATCGACACCGTCTTTATTTTCGACGGTGGTTCTCACTTCCTCTTTGTCTGTACAGCGGAGCTCGACAGTTTTTGTATCCCATCGGCGTCTTCGACGGCCGACGTCGGTGTTTACTCATCGACAGGCAGTTTACACAAACGCGTAATTGGGCGTGTGTACGTAGACGTAGTTGTACGTACTTTAACCACACGCACATTTCTATCCTTGCCCGGGAAAACTTCCTCAATTCTTCCCATTTCCCATTGATTCGGGGGGAGAAGAGGGTTTTGCACTAAAACCAAATCGTTCGGTTTTAACTGCAATTGGGTGGTGCGCCACTTATAGCGGTTCTGGAGGTGCGTGAGATAATCTCGCGTCCAATGTCTCCAGAGCTGTTCGTGGAATTTCTGAATCGCTCTCCAACGCGTAAGTCGTGTGAGTTTTTCAGTTTCCACTGACTCGACCGGAAGTGCATTTATTGGACTTCCGATCAAAAAGTGGCCCGGTGTGAGAGGCGCATAATCCTCTGGACAATCACTCAAAGCGGCGATCGGTCGCGAGTTTAAACTCGCTTCGATCTTGCAGAGCAATGTCTGCATTTCCTCGCTCGTGGGAGTGAAGTCGCCGAGGATGCGTTTTAGGTGATGTTTCACCGATTTCACACCGGCTTCTTGCATACCGCCGAAATGCGGTGCACTAGGTGGATTAAAATTCCACTTAATGCCGTTCTGACCACATTTATTTCGCATTTCTTGCGTG